TATTTTTTTCTTTGAGTATTGACTTATTCCATTTAGCACAATATCATCAAGGATCAGTCATATTGTAATATATGTCAGAATTTCTTTCCTTTTTAAAGGCAAATAATATTTCACTGTATGTACATACTATATTTTATCTATCAGTTCTGCTGATATAAAGTTGATTTTAATAATGTACTTCATTTAATCCTGTAAACCCCACATATTATAATTCCAATGTGCAATCAGTGTAACAATTGAGGTACTTTTGTTGGTTTTGTACCCAAGCTTTGGGATCTGGTGCACATTTTATACCTAGAACGTGTCTCAATTCAGAATCAGCCAATTCAGTTATGCAGTGGCCATGTGTGGCTGGGGACTGCCACGTTGGACACCCATGGCTCTAGATTACCTATAATTAGCATAGGGGTAAAGCTAGCATCCTTGTGAGAGAGTGGTCTCCTGGTGGGCACTTCCTGCTAACACAGGAAGTGTCTGCTGTGGCACCTACTATGTGGTCAAGGTGGGTAGAATGATTAGCATGTGACCTATCTTGCCTCCTCTTAAAGTTGAGAGACTGACACCAGCATCATCCTGGTGACAGATGTTCCTGGGGTTCAGAGGCTCCCTGGCAGCATCTTGAAGGCAGAGATGAGGGGAAACTGTTGTTTTTGCTGGCCAACATATATGAAATTGGTTTTCTATGGCAACGGGGGTGGAGATCACCTCATCCATGTATTGACTTCACTGGGGAGAGGGGAGTGGGAAGCTGGCTTCTGAAAGATATCCCAAGCCCTTTCAATGCCTCTTGTGCATGCTACTTGAAGGGGCTCAAGTAGGTTCTGTTTTTTTTTTTTTCAGGTGAACAAGAATGTATACCATGATGGATTGGAAACCACCTATTGCTACATATCTGCACACCAAGTGAACAGTTCTGTGAAAATACTGACAAGACTATGACATTCCACTTAATCTGCCTATTGTGTTTGAGGATCTTGGACACACAATTAAAATATGCCTCCTTGGTTTAGAAAACCTTTGCCATCAAATTGATAATAAATATGATGATAAATAAATACATTTCTGCTTAGCTTTCTCTAGGCAGCTTCTCCAATTACATGATATACCGAATATTAGGTTGTAATTGAATTTTGTAGTAATTTTGGAGGAAAGAAGAGCTTAGGGAAGAGTCTATAACTCATGACAACTTGGAGACATGATGTAATAGATGGAAAGAAAATTGACTATGGCTTTAAAAGGACATTCATTTTATGGAATATGTTTAAAGGATAATTTCCTCTATAGATTATAAAGCAATTTAGAAAAATGGTCCATAAATATTTTAGTAATAAATTTTTTTTCTTTAAGAAGAAATTGTAATCTGTGCCTCCCTTCCTCTCTGGCTGTCAGTCACTGAACTGAGTTGTCTTGATATTTTATTTAAATGTAATCCACATTTGTCAAGCTTCTGTGTTTCAAAGATTGTGTTGGAGTCTCTTGAGATATAAGCACATGCTAATCAGTCCTGTTAATGTAATATTTATGCTAATGCAAACCCTGTGAAGCCAGTTGGAATATCCCCTTGGACATTGTGGGGATGAGTCTTAGCATAGCTGCATTTGACAATGATTTCTGCTGACTTTTTTTTGTGTTAACTGAAAATTTGTAAGTGTTAGGATGGGTTGGAGGAATAAGACACTCAGCTAAAGCAGAGGATGACAAGAAGCCTTCAACAAGCCCCATGTTCCTGATGCATTTGCATTGTAACTATTGCAACTTTCATGAAAACTTGCTGATTTTTCCAGCTGCCTCTCTGGTATCTGGGATATTCTGAAGGAATATGGAGAAAAAAATGGCAAGTGAAGGGAACAGTTTTGATTAATCTATGGGATGGTGAAAACCAGGCTGGAAGAAGGAAAATCTCAGCATATCTTTATAGAAACTGAGATTTCTTCAAAACTTAAGGCCAGAAAGGAAGCAAATCCTGCTTCTTGGGTGGTATTTCAAGCCAAATGACTGGCAGATTAATCAAGAATTAGATACAGTATAAAGACAATCGTTGTGTTTTCTGAGCAATATAGCATATGGATGCAGGTCAAGCCATGATGCTCAACTTACAGTATGACTTGAGATATGGATCTGGGCCTCTTATCTCACATGATCTGCATAGACCACCCGTAGACCATACAAACAGGCAGTTTGGAATGCAGTTAGTTAAATATCAGAATGAAGGCAGCCACTACTTAGTTTTTGGTAAAATGTGTTTGGGCATGAACAATAGTAAAATGTTGCTAATATTGTTTCTGCATTCATATCATAAGGGTGATACCAGGGAGTAAAAGAGAAAGCAGGATTTTATCCTTAGTGTCAAGTGCACCCTGTTGTTTGCTCATAGACCTTTTAGTTACATCTGTCTGACATCTCTTATATCTGTCCCTGCGCCATCAATCTCTTTTAGTGAACATCTTGGAGAATTGAAGCATTAGCTAGAGGTACACAGATACCCTCATTTCCTAGTTTCCATCCTAATGTTTCAGAAAATTATTCTCACACTCAGATCAAAAAGAGGGATTCTTCATTCCTTGTGCCCTTTAGAAAAACCTTCATTAGTACTAAGATGTTTATCCTGCTGCATGTTATAGAAGACATGATGAACTGGGAAACAGTCAGAAGCTAAGCATCTGAAAGTAGTAAGAAGATAGTGTCCTTACCAGATGGTTTTGTTTGTTTGTTTGTTTATTTGATTTTAAAGAGGACTCAGCTGAGAATGAGTGGGAACCAAACCTACAAAATGTATAGATAAGTTCACTAAGTCCTCAGATACTGAGTCTAAGAAGCATCCCTTGAATATTAAATAAGACAATTTCTAAATTAAACAATAAAAAAGACAATGAACATGTAGATCAGCTAGTTCAAGTTCAAAGTATGAAGCAATCTTAAATCTTTTCATTCCCTTGGAATCAGTCACTAACAGAATCAGTGCAAAGTGGATATGATATAACAACAGAACTAAAGGGAGCAGCTCCTTTTTGTCTTTCCCTGCATCATTGGTCTTTAGCTTTGTATGTCCATAGGGATTGGGCAGGAATGGAAGTGAGTGAATCCCAGTTCAGCATCAAGGAGTCAGTGTGGCGGAGGCAGCAGAGAATGATGGAGACTATCATCAACTAGTGAATACACATTCCAGCTTAGCAGAGCCGATACGCAGCCATAGTCAGTGTTTTTTAAATGAGAATATGTTCCTAGTATTGCCAATCTTCTGTTTTACCAAGCACACAGAATCCTAGAGGTTTTTTTTTTTTTAATGGTAGAATCTCTCCGTTTTTAAATGTTGGCAACTTATTTTGTAAGAAATGGTTTTTAAATGCTATGGCACAAATAAACATCTTTGCATTACCAATTTTTAATATCTGTCTCCAGAGAAGCCATGTTGCCTTTTCTCCTGGGAATTTGAGTTCTTGTTTGCAGCTGAGTGGTTGATTACTGAGTAGTGATGGGTTTGCCTTGGTATCTTCTGGCCTAAAGATTATTTAATGAGTGAGACTTTACATCCCTTTATCTATTCTTCACTCTTTAAAGATCTTATCATGCCAGGTGAGGTGGCACCTGTAATCCCAGTGGCTTGGGAGGCTGAGGCAGGAGGATCATAGGTTCAAAGCCAGACTCAGCAATTTAGCGAAGCTCTAAGCAACTTAGTGAGACCCTGTCTCAAAATAAAAAATAAAAAGTGCTAGAGATGTAGCTCAGTGGCTAAATGCCCTTGGGTTCAATACCTGACACCAAAAACAAAACAAAACAAAAAAATAAAAACAAAACAAAACCTTATTCTGCCAGTGCCCCTCCCCCAATAACTCTGACTCAAGCGATTTCACTCTTCCTTATGTCTTAAGCAATTTAAACCCACCCTGAATTTTTACATATAGACACCATCAACCTTGTAATCTGGGAAAGTTGAAACAGTACATTGAATCAAGGGAGGTAGATGATACTTCAGATAATAGGGCTGTAATAGAATAACAATGCTCAGAAGACCTTTCCTCATTACAGAAGGCCATGTTGGAGAAGGCTTGCCACAAAATTGCTTTTGCTTCCATTTTCAGAGGCCAAGCACAGAACCAGGTAGACCAATTGTCTGTCTGTCCCATCTTATATTTTCATGCTACTTTAAAAAAAACATGGAGGAGGTACTCCAGGTCCCCCCT